AACAACAACAACAACATGTGTTTTATTGTATATTTGAATACATGTGGATGCATATACTTACATTTATACACCTGTATGCAGATACATCTTTATGTGCCCACATATGTTCATACATATACAAACCTGTAGAAGCCCTAGTGGCACAGTGGTTAAAGCACTCTCCTGCTAACGAAAAAGATGGTGGTTCAAAACTACCAGCTGCTCTGCAGGGGAAAAAAATGTGACATTCTGCTACTGCAAAATATTTACATCTTTGGAAACCCTGTAGGGCAGTTCTGCTCTCCGAATTGATTCAATAGCAATGAGTTTGGGTTTTTGGATACATACCTATGTACTTGTATGCATATATATGTAAACACATTCCTAGCTTTTGGTTGTTGTCACACAGTTGTATATATCATAGCAGTTAAATTTTTTTTTCTTGCCTACTTCTTAGCGATATCATATACTGTGATTAAGCTATGCACACTTCACCCACATTTATTGTTATACTTCCTATCACCAGAAATAACAAGTGTCTACTAGAACTATCTCATACACACACACACGCACCAGCCACCTATCTCTAGTAACCACCAGTGTTTGTCTCTTTATAATAGTAGGATCATATAGTATTTGTCCTTTTGTGGTTGATTTATTTCACTCAGCAAAATGTCCTCCAGATTCATCCACATTGGAGCATATTTTCAGAATTCATCATTATTCTTTGTGGCTACATAGTATTCCATTGTATATATGTACCACATTTTGTTTATCAATTCAGTCAGTCATTAACTGGGTGTTTCCATCTTCTTGTTATTGTGAATAATGCTATGATGAGCATAGGTGTGCATATGTCTGTGTCTTCAGTATGAGATCTCTAGGATGTATACCTGTAAATAGTATTGCTGAATCATAACTTTTTGTTTCTAGTTTTGTGAGGAAGCACCATATGGTTTTCCATGGTGGTTATACCATTTTACAGTCCCATGAGCAGTGGATAAGCGTTCCAAACTCCCCACATCCTTGCCAGCATTTGTTTTGTTTTTATAATTACTGCCATTTTAGCAGAGGTGAGATGGTATCTCTTTGTAGTTTTGATTTGCATTTCTCTGTGGACATTTTTTGTTACTAAATTTAGTGGCTTTTTTTAAATTTATAGTATGAAGTAAAATGATCACAGAGAATAAAATACTTATTTCCATTTGATAGTATATAATCAGGTTTCTTGAAAATACCTCTCCTGTATTTAGAGACCATCTAAAGAATAGATTTGATGCATTGAACACCAGCAACCAAAAACCAGAGAAATTGTGGGAAGACATCAAGAATATCATCCATGAAGAAAGCAGAAGTTCATTAAAAACGAGAAAAGAAGAAAAGACCAAAATGGATGTCAGGGAAGACTCTGAAACTTGCTTTTGAGTGGAGAGTAGCTAAAGCAAGTGGAAAAAATGACAAGATAAAAGAGCTGAACAGAAGATTTCAAAGAGCAGCTTAAGAAGACAAAGCCAATTATTATATGGAAATTATTGAGCAATAACATTAATATCATGTGCAAGTAAAATCTTATTGAAGACAATTCAAAAATGTTTGCAGCAGTATATTGGCAGAGAACTTCCAGAAATGCAACCTGGATTCAGGAGAGGACATGGAACAAGGGATATCATTGCTGATCTCAGATGGATCTTGGCTGAAAGCAGAGAATACCAGAAAGATGTTTGCTTATGTTTTATTGACTATGCAAAAACATTTGATTGTGTGGATCATAACAAATTATGGATAACATTGAGAAGAATGGGAATTCCATAACACTTAATTGTACTCATGAGGAAACTGTACATAGAGCAGGAGGCTGTTGTTTGAACAGAACAAGGGGATATTGCATGGTTTAAAATCATGAAGGGAGTGTATCAGGGTTGTATCCTTTCACCATACTTATTCAGTTTGTATGCTGAGTAAATAATCTGAGAAGCTGCATTATATGAGGAAGAATATGGCATCAGGATTGGAGAAAGACTCATTAACAACCTGTGATAAGCTGACGACACAACTTTGCTTGCTGAAAGTGAGGATGACTTGAAGCACTTACTAGTGAAGATTAAAGACGACAGTCTGCAGTATGAATTACACCTCAATATAAAGAAAATAAAAATCCTCACAATTGGACCTATAGGCAGCATCACGAGAAGTGGAGAAAAGATTGAAGTTGTCAAGGACTTCATATTACTTGATTCTACAATGAACACCAATGGAAACAGTAGTGAAGAAATCATCTAACATACTGCATTGGGCAAATCTGCTGCAAAAGACTTCTTTCAGGTGCTGAAGAGCAAAGATGTCTTCTTGAAGACTAAGGTGTGCCTGACCCAAGCTATGGTATTCTCATTTGCATATTATGCATGTTAGAGCTGGATAATGAATAAGGAAGACCATAGAAGAGTTGATGCTTTTGAGTTGTGGTGTTTGTGAAGAATACTGAGAGTACCATGGACTGCTAAAAGAACTAATAAATCTTTCCTGGAAGAACTGCAGCTGGAAGAATGCTCCTTGGAAGTGAGATTGGCCAAACTTTGTCTCTCCTACTTTGGTCATGTTATCAGAAGGAACCATTTACTGAAGAAGGATATCATGCTTGGTAAAGTGGAGGGTCAACGAAAAAGGGGAAGGCCCTCGACAAGGTAGATGGATACAGTGCCTGCAGTGATGAGTTCAGGTATAGCAATCATCGTGAGGCTGGCAGAGGACCACACAGTGTTTCATTCTTTTGTGCATAGGGTCACTGTGAGTTGGAGACAACTCAACGGCACCTAACAACAACAACAAATTAAGTTTCTAGGTGTGCCTAGGAGCTAGGAGAAGTCTCAGGTTTTGATAGTTTCAAACAATCATGAAAGTAGATCTGGCAGTTTGTGCCTAAAATACCCATTATTCATTTATACAGTATGCATGAGGCTACTCCAGGACCACAAAAAAGGATCAAGCACTGTGGATAGGCATATTCATCATATGCCTTTTCATTCCTTTACCTCTGATTAACCCAACTTCTCATTGGTATCATCTTTGCCCATAAATGAATCTTCAATATAAACAAAATAAATTCTTGGTCATTTTCTACAGTTACCTAATTTTTTGTTGATTGGGCCCTTTTTTTTTAAATTGTGATTTGGATGAAGATTTACAGAGCAAATTCACTTTCCATACAGCAGTTCACATATACTTTGTCTCATGTCATTGACCACAGTTTATCACAATGCAACAGCTCC